AGCCGCTTCTACGCACACTCGGCTCTGCACCACTTGTCCCTTCGGTGTCCCAGTGGCTTCAAACATGAGCTTCAGTGATGTCTCCAGGGTGATGCTGCCAGGGCCAGGCATTCAGCTTAGTGGTACAGCGCCTGCCCAGCATGCATGAGGCCCTGGGTTCCATCTCCAGCACGGCAATAAGTAAATAATCAGATTAGAAATCCTGATAACATGGGGTTGGGTGGGGCGTGAGAATGAGTATGTATAAGCCTGGCTGACAGGGAAGCAAGTCTGGGAAACACCATAGTGGGGCATGGCGGTGCATGCCTCTAATCCCAGCACTCTGGGAAGCTGAGTCAGGAGGGCTGCAAGTTGAAGCTCAGCCTGGGCAACACAGGGACTTAGTGAGGGCCTATCTCAAAATAAAACATTTTAAAAGGGCTGGGTCTATAGCTCGATGTGAAAGCCCTGGGTTCAATCCCCTGTATGGCCCCCCTCCACAAAAAAGACTGCAATCTGCAATAAAGGTGAGACCATTTTGCAGGAAGCAGTCAGTTAACTGCTCTGTTTGCACATGGAGTAGGGGTGGATGCCCACGGGCCCAGGCCGTGCCAGGAACCAGGGAAGCCTCCTTGGGAGCATCCAGGCTGCTCTCCCGGGGCTACTAAACCCGCAGGCCTGCATCTCAGTGTGAGCAATTCTCCCTTCTCTCTAAAGCCAGCAGCACGCAGAGAGCAAGAGCATCCCCTGGGGGCTTCTTCAGGTATGAGAGGGGGCGGTTTGTTCCCAAGGGCAGAGTCTGCTCGGCACCTAGAACCCCGGCCCTCTGTGCGTGCGCGGAGCGCAGTCCCGGGGGCCCGGGGTCAGGGTTCAGAGGCCATTTGGAATCACTCAGCCTGGGGTCTCGGGCCACTTTCCAGCCCCCACGGCACCCAACTTGGCCACTTTCCTGCTTCAGCTTCGCTAGGTTTGTTCATTTGGAATAGCAGCTAAAAGGCCCCCAGGCCCACGAGGCCCTGGCAGGCAGCTGGTCTCTCTGAGTCAGCTCCAGCCTCCCTGTCGCAAACCCCTCTGAGGCAAAAAAAAGTGTCGGAGACCCAAAGCGGAAAGGAGTTCAAACTATGTGTTTCTCACTCATCCACATTCACAAAAGGGCGGTGCATAATTGTACAAACAGACAGTATTTCTTTGGGTCAAACATATACAGAAGTAGGAAAAGGACAACATAATAAACCACTGTAACTTTATCACATACTTCAAACATTTGAGTGAGAGATACAAAAATATAAATTCTCCAAAACTGTCTTCCCACCTCCAAGGTTAATGTCTGAGCATATACCACCTTGTTAACTTGTGTGCCACACACACACACACACACACACACACACACACATACTCACACACAAAGAAAATAGCATCATACAAGTACATACCACCTTGAGTCTATTTTTCTCATTTAAGATTGGATTTTTAATGGCTGTGTAATATTCCATCTCTAGCTAAAACATGATTTTACCAATTTCCTACTTTATGCCATCTAAGTTCTTAACTTTTCGTTATTATATATTTCACTGCTATGGACATTCTTCTAGATAAAATATTTGCCCACCTATCTGTTTCTTCAAAAAAACTTTTCTAGAAGAAAGGGCATGCGTAAGCCTTTAAAATGAACTTCCAACTGCCCGCAGTAAGATGGCTTCAATTTACACCCCGTCCCCCACATTGTAAAAGGGACTCGCTATTATGTTAACTGAGGTCCCTCCCCCAAACCTTTGAATTGCAAGGCCTCAGAAAGCTGGCATGCATTTCTCATTAGAATATTTCCTCCTCAATAATGAAGCTTCGAGAAGAGAAGAAAAAAGAGGGGAGGAGAAAAGGGGAGGAGAGATGGCTGCAGAGGGGGCTGGAGGTAGGTGGGAAAATGAAGACAGGGAGGGGGAGGGGAGGGGGAGGGGAGAGGAAGGAAGGAGGGAGGGAGGGAAGGAAGGGGGCTGCACGTGATTATAAATCTCTCAGTGATGGGAGGGAGGGAGGGAGGGAGGGAGGGCCACTGGCGACAGAGATCCTGGGAGTGAAAGTAGGAACCCAACGGACCGGGCAGGGAGGGCGCTGTCTTTGCTGGGGAGCAGCGGAGGGGCGCTGAGAGCATCACCGGTCTCTAGGGCTCCGGGCAGAGGACCCGATGTCCTCTTGCTCTCGTGCCCGTCCCTCTGTCACCCGGGGACAGCCCGACACGCGAACCATTTCAGAAACTCGCGTGGTGAGGATGAACCTGAACCGAAACACACAGAAGGGAAATTTTGAAAACAATGAGGCCGTGATGGCAAGGGCCAGAGATGGAGGGAGCGGGCCAGTTGCTCAGAGCCTGCTCCACCCTGGCCAGGGAGGACCACAGGGAAAGCCAGGACCGAAATAGGCCAGGCTCACCGGGTCTGTGTCACTCAGCCCTCCCCCAAGCTCCCCTGCCCTTAGTGCACTACGGGGGATGGGGCGGCCCTGCCCGCCAGCTCGAGACAGAGACCATTTAAGGCTTTGAAACCCTGCTCTGAATCTCGAGGCCAGCGACACTCCCGTGCCAAGAGCGGATGAGCATGTTTTGTTCCTGGGACATCTGCTATCTCCCCATGGAATGCAAGAGATGTCTGTGCTTCCTGATACCCACTCCTCTCCAATCTCTTGCTTTCTCTCTCTCTCTCTCTCTCTCTCTCTCTCTCTCTCTCTCTCTCTCTCTCTCTCCTTGTCCACCCCCATTTGTCTCTGGTCAGCCGCACGGACCTGGAACAAAACCTGCCCCACACCGTGCCCGGGGAGCCAGGCCCACCAAAGCCTGGTTCTTTCCATTAGGCAAAAATCTCCTTTCCTCTCACTACGTTCTGCTGAGTGATTCAAAGGCCACCCTTAAAAGTATAGCATCAAATTAACAGAATAATAAATATGCCAAGTGCAGAGAGGTTTGCCTTGGAGCTTCATTTATGATTGAAAAGGAAGCTGCTATGTACATGCATGTAAGTGTTTATACACACACAGGTGTTAAAAAGATGCACAAAGTGCAACTGCTTTCAGTGTATATGGGAGAGGGTAGGAGGGAAGACAGGTCAGGAGTCACTACCAACTCTTTTCTTGCTTGATTTTTTTAATCTTGTGCATTTATTATTTTTAAGAGCCTGTTATTATTTTTTAAAGCCTGGTAGATCTGCTTCAAATCTTACTCTACCACCAACTAGCTCTGGGGATATAGGACTGCGACTTCAGCCTTCCATGGAAGTAAAATGGGGGTGATCTATTGTCTGCTTTTGAGGGTTGTTGCAAAGAAATGAATTAGCACGTGGGAAATGCTTTAGCCTGGGGTCTGACACGTGTTGTCGATAAATATCCCATCATCATCATCATCATCATCATCATCATCATCATCATCATCATCATCACCACCACCACCACCACCACCTTTAGTGCCCCTGGCAGAGCTCCTAATCCTCACCCAAATAACCTGGCTGATTGTTTGTTTGTTTCCTGAAAGCCAGGAAACCCTGAATATCACCAACCAGGTTGCTCTTTGAAGTCGGGCTGCCTGTGCGACCCGACCAGGGGCGGAGGGAGCCCTGTGCAGGAGTCTGAGGCATATAGATCTTCCTCTGCAGGTCATTAGGCTCGCGTTTGTCACATTTATTTTAAGGAAGCCAGTAGGGAGCGGTGGGTGAGGTTAATTGCCTGAGGATCGGATGGGGGCCGTCCCACAGAGTCTGTGACCCCAGAGGCTTGGGCCCTGGCTCCTGGCCTGGCCAAGCAGGGTAACAGCACCTGTAGTAGGGAGGCGGAGAGGGGTGGCCAGGCTTCTCAAACGCTGCAGTTTGGTGACAGTTGTTACCAAAACTTGGGAACACACTGGACCTTCCCTTCCCCTGACTCCAGCTTGTCCCCGCCCAGGGCTAGTGAGGAGCCATTTCTGCTTGGGGTTCACCTCCGCACCAAGCTACGGAGCCTGTTTGCTCCCATTTTGGGCCCCGGGGTGGCAGGCAGACTGCTCCCCCAGGCAAGCACGCGGGGAGTGTGTGTATGTGTGTGTGTGTGTGTGTGTGTGTGATCCTTTTCCTTCACTGCCAAAAGCAAACTTTCCACACACCTTGAACACAGAGCTACCCAGCCACTGAGTGAGACCGGGGGAGCAGTGACGACTGGTGTCCCTACAGCGGGGGACACCGGGACACCGCCCTTTCAGGACTCCCCTGGTCATCCCCAAAAGGGGAAATAACAGTTCCCGCCTCACAGACTTCTCTGAAGGATTAAAACACCTAACACTCAATAAATAGCAGCTACTACATGATTCTTTTTTCCCAGGCTACATAAGAGCCAAGATTAGCTTTTTGGAGCCACCACCTACCTTTTCTGAAAGAGAACAAATGAGTCCATGAAACTCTATGCTTTAGCCCTTCCAGAGAAATAATCAGGAATACACAACCATCCTGGTGAATTGGGGAGAAAATGTAACTCCTGGTGGCTGGGGTGGGGGGTTATACCTACTCAAAGTTGATTTTTCTGACCACCAAAAATATTTCTTGTTCCGGACCTGCCGGAGCGCTACAGATTAACAATCTCCGGCGGGCACTCAGCGCTCCACGCCGGCCAGCTCCCCACCCGGGAGAAGGTGTGACTTCAGGCTTAGCTGTAAGGATGGGGGTGCGGAATGCAAGCCCGTGTGTGAGGTGATTGTAACCAGAAACGCCTCGGCAGGCATCTCGCTGCCGTCCGGAGCGCCGCTGGCAGGCAGCCGGGCCGGGAGCCGGGAGCCGGCCCCAGGTGCCCCGGCCGCCGCTGACCGCCCCTCCCCGGCCGGGCCGATAGCTTATCGGGCCCACTCGGGGGGCGCCCGGTGCTACAACCGGAAACGCGGCTGCCGCCAGTAGCCTCTCCGGACGCCCGCGGAGTGTGCGCAGGCCCGCGCTCACGCCCGGCGCCGCTTCGCCCGGCCCCAGCCAGGTAAGGGCCCAGGTGGGCGGGGAGCGCGCGGTGCGCCCCGGCTCCGGCTCGTTAGGGGCGGCGGAAAGGCTGATGCTTTACGGATCTTGGGAGGCAGGGAGGAGTGGGGATGGGAGCAAATTTGGGGGCGCCAAGGGGCAGTACCGCCTCCCAGCGCTGCGCGACAGGATGACAGGAGCGCGGCGCGCGAGAGATGAGGGGATGAGGACCTGCGGGCGATGCACCCCAAGGTGTCGGCGAGGGTGGGCTGGCGTGGGGTACCTGCCCCGTCACTTCCCTGCATCTCAGCCCGCGTGGCCTGCGTAGTCCGCTCTGAGGCGACCAAGTGGCGAGAGCTGCATTCCCGAGACGCCAGCATCCCTGTCGGGTACCTTGGATGGGGGGAGGGGGTGAGCCTGTATAATAAGCTGCTTGTGCGTAGCACAAACTGGGAGGAATTTGGAGTCTGAAGCCCTGAATTTGAGTCCAGGCTTTCCATCCCTTGCTACTGTGCTGTGCACTTCTGGGTGGGTTGCTTAACCTCTCTGGGCCCAGCTTCTTCACTCTGGAGAGAGAAATTTGGAGAGCAAGTTGGAGCTTATTGTTGGCATTTAATAAAACGATGAAAGATCGTTATAGAATAGCAAGCCCCTTATCTTTGGTGGTCAACTCTCTCTGGGAAAGTTTGGCACGGTGTGGAGTCCGGCAGACAGCCCACCGACTGAGGTGTGTGGGCCTCCCCCGGGGTCCCGAACCCGCCGAGCCGGTAGACAACGCGGGCTTCGGCTTCACGCAGGTGTCCTCAGGCTCCAGGGCCCAGTCGGTGATCCCTCCCAGGCCTTTAATCCCTGCCCCCCAGACAAACGGGGGAGGGGTCTGTCCCCAGGAGCCTCAGCCCCCAGCGCCTCTTTCCTGCACGTGGCCGCCTCACCGCGAGCCCCAGCGCCGGTCCAGCTGTGCGCCCTGGGCGCGCACGGAGCTCACTCCGGGCAGCCGCGACCCACGGCAGCGCGCGCCGGCAGACAGACGCCACGGCCGGGCGGTCTCTGTCTGTGCGAGGGTGTGGAGCAAAGGAGAGGCACACTTTCCTCACCCGGTCCCTGCTCTGCTGCGGAGGAGCCCGAGGCCAGCTCACACGGCTGGGCCGGAGCCCCAAGCCTGCTGGGGCCCTCTGAGGAGGTCACGGTTGGGCTCCTTGTCTTTGTTTTGAGCAAAGACATTGCAAAGTCTCCTCCTTCAGTGCTTCTTTCTTCTTTGCTTTCAAGAAATCTTTTAAAAAGAAATCAGCTCCTCAATGGGGTCCATAGTGCCCCCAAAGTTAAGACCCACCCTTCCCCAGGAGGAGCTCCAGGACCTAACCTTGATGCAAGGTGGGACTTCACAGAGTGTATTCTTCTTCGTGGACGCCCAGGATGTAGGCACACATGCCTCAAAATGTCCTCGAATTTGAAGGGAAACTGAGGCCCAAAGAGGCATCACCACTGGCTCCAGGTCCCACAGCTGGAGGCTGGAGGTATTGCCCATTCATTCCCCTGGGCGCTCTGTCGGGGGCTCCTGAGAACCCGGAGAGTATCGTGAGTCCCAAAAGTGACCCAAATGGGCCTCCAGCTGCCCCAGATTAAGGCTTCTGGTTAATGTTAGCCTTTCATGGCCCTCGCCGGACTGGCCTGAGAGACAAAGCCTGGAGGAGCTGCTCAGGCTGCCGAGCACGGGAAAGGTGAAAGGCCAGCTTCCCGCTTTCCTTAATTAGTGCGTTTTTAACCTTTTGGACGATAAGCTGCCCGCGGGGAAGCTGATGGAAACTTCGGACTTTATCCAGAAAAACTTGCCAGCGTGCACAGCTTTGCGAAGGGCATCTTGTCTGCCCAAGACACTGGCCTGGCAGTCGTGTGCAGCACCTCCGCTTTGAGCAGATGCTAGCCCTGCGGGAGAAGTCAGTTTAGGGGATCCTGCCTTGACCCAAGGAGTGTTTGGGGCCCTCACTTGCTCAGGTGCACACGCACACACCAGCAGCAGACCCTGACACGCACACCCGGCAAATACGGGCTCCGTGTCCCTGTCCCTCCAACTCCTGCCTAGACACCCGCCACCCAGCTGAGCGTGGCGCGGCCAGGAGAGACGTTGAAGCGCCCTTTAACACCCCAGTTCTCCCAGCCTTACTGTTTACCCATCTGAACGGCTCCCCTTCCCTGGCCCGCTTCCACCCCCACCTTTCCGAGGTCGGCTATAAAAATAAACTATTTTTCCTTGTTAATAAATCTCCGCCCGGCGCCCTCTTTTAAGGAACTCAAAAAAAAAAAAAAAAAAAAAAAAAAAGTCACTGCGCCCAGCGCGGAGCAGCGAGCAGGGAGATTAATCTGGAGCAGGATTTATGTGGCGCGGGCGCTCTCGAACAATCGGAGTCATAAAGCGAAATGGGATTCGGTGGGATTCGGAGGCGGCGGGGGC